CTTACAATGCTGACTCTCTTCACAAAACAATCCGCACATCTAAGCTGCATACTTTGGGGCATATCTGTTGACATGAAAAACTGGTTCCTACCCCTCCCAGTCCTCTGAACGAATTTAATAGGGACGGCGACAAGTCCAATAACGTAACCTCATTTCCATGGGTAGGGCCTACGATTTTGCTGTGCCACGTCGGTTCCCAGTGGAGGAATGTTAACACAGGCTATGGAGTCCAAAATATATACATACATTTGTAATAGAAACGGTGACCAGACCAACGACGTGTGATGCATCATTGGCAACCTCAACTCCATGGCCTGTGTGCACATTCCTTCACTGAGAACCGACGTGGTGTGGCCAGATCGTACCCATGGAAATGAGGTTACATTACTGGACTGGTCCCAATCCCTATTAATACATTCAGAGGACTGGGAGGGGACAGGAACCTGTCTTCCGTGTCAACAGATATGTGCCAAAGTATGCAGCTCGGATGTGCAGATTGTCGGTGAAAAGAGGCAGGATTGTAAGTAAGGTCTGGATTTAGCCCAAAATAACTGGTTACATGTACATGGTACAAAAGCCATCACACATGTGTGTTAAAGAGACATTGTTTAGTTTTGACAGCTTGTGGAAGGAAGATATGAGTGCCAAAGTGCAGTTCTAGGCAAAAAAAATGGGTACATTTAAAATCCCATGGCGTTAAAAACCAGAAGAAATCAGGACAGTGTGAGTTACACGGAAAGTGGTTCACAAGTCACAGTTCTGAGAAAAGGCTCTAAGGTCCAAGTTGGTCTGGGTCCGAGTTGACTCGAAATCATAACAGGTACCTCTCATTATCAGAGTTGGGACCTTAAATTATCCAATCTTGCAATCAATATGGTCGAAAGTAGTTCCATTTATTGCGCTCACTGCTGGACAAAGCCAAAGGGGCAATCCTCCATTCACTTTGCACAGGGATTTGCATGTTTCCTCAATTTTTGTTGCATCATCATGATAAAAATAACAAACCTTTTCGGTATAGTGTGGAAGATAACAGTGCATAAACCGTGAAATTTCGTGCCTATTTGATAGAAAGATTAAGAGTTTAGTTAGACCTAATAGTAAATACTACTAAAAAAAAAAAGTACTAGCACTAGGGCCTAGCAGATTAGGCCTAGACCACAATGCTACATTCTGTATTTTTTGCTCGTTTGAGTTTCAAGTGTGAAATATGGAATAGGGCCTAGCCAACAAGTGACCAATCAGAGAGAAGAATCAAGACTCAGTGATATCATCCCGATCACGAATGACCATTGAGCCTATCACTGTATCAGCACTCTCATTAAATTTGTGTTCGACTCTCATGACTGTCATGCGTCATGAGTGTATCCCACCGATCTGACTGAAAATTCATGATCTAGGGCCTACACTCGTGACAGTCTCTAGCCTACACCGAAAACAACCATGATTACAACGGACAGTCTTTGCTACCAATTAAAAAGCATTCTTCAAATTTGTATTACTACGTGTGATGGCATCATATACTCACCAATAGAACTGTCAAAATCAGTTTAGTATGTCATACAGCATCCACGATCCTTACTCGTCGCCATTTTCAAATATACTATGTACACTTAACACAAACAAGTTGCGCGCGCCATCATTTTGACTGATCTGCGTGATCTACGGTGGCTTGGAAGGGACGCGCCTACCAAATACCATGGAAAATGACCCTGCCTACTAAAAAAATTGATTATCAGATCGCAATGCAATGTAGACGACGTCCACAGGGATCTGTCAGACAGACAAACGCTGAGAGACTAGTTAGAACTTCCTAACGAGGGCGCTGTTAACAGTACTGAGTACATGCATGTACACAACGTACATGTAGGCAACACGTGCATCCGAGACTGCGGTGCCGTACGGTTTGTACTCATTAGCGTTACGGTGGGAGTTGCCTCCATGAGAAATGCGTAGAAGGTGTGGCGATCCCCAGTCTTCACGTGGACCGAGGCATTCAAGACCGCGACCCAAAACATTTTTTTTTTGCTTTGGTCATTGGTTGGGTATTTCCATATGACTTCGGTTACGCCTCTGAGACGTAATTTTTCCGACAAAATTAGAGCTGGCTCATCGCCGCTCCAAATTGGAAGAAAATGAACAAAATTAGGATTTTCCTCGAAGATAACATAGTTGTATATCTCCAAAGTCCGACTTAGTGACTGCATTCAGCCAACAAAAACTGATACTTCATAAAAAGCTGGTTCATACGCGAAAGCAAAACACCAACGCGACATTGTGACGTCAGTCAAAGATCCGCGCTTCAAATTTACAGAAGTTGAATATAATTCAACTGAATCAAATGTCGCTGCAAATTCTTCGTGACATCAAATTCGCTCAGCCTTAAAAGAACTGGGCGGAATCTGCCCCCTCTACATTTTCCTCATATCGTCGTAGTGCATATTTTTTCCCACGCATTGAGCCTTAATGATTATTTTAGTAACTTCACTACCGTTCTAATGCGGCACCAGTTTTCCTGGTCAGCCAACAAACGTATTCCGGCTTGTGTGCAATTTTATGGGCTTTCATTTAAGTAATTTTAAGCCTCTGTATTTGCCGAAATCTTAGTACTGAGCTGGCAGGTTTAATGTGAAGAGAATTTTTTTCAAAAGGGGAGTCAAGGAAACTAAACCATTGTCTTGATGCGAACGGGTTACTCTCAACCATGAAAACCTGTGTGATTTGTTGCAGTCCTTGCAAAATCATCAACGTCAGGTAAACAGCTTACTCTGTAACTTGAGTTTAACTTGCAAGTCTCGTTTGTAACTAAAGGTTTACGATGGTGGCGTGCGTAGCACTGGTTGTCTGAAGCTGCATAACTGAAGTTTTCGATGGCTAATTAACGACCTCTTTAATTATTTATTATTGTTATCTTAGTTACCCTGGGTTACCCATTCAGCACAAAAACCGATCTCCCATAGGTCCCAGCAAGTACAATAGGTAAACTAGAGGTGGTGGTTGTTACAGTACCAACCACAAAGCTGCCTCAGATTTCTCAGCAATTTTAAAATATGCGGAAGAAATGGAAATCTACCTGATCTGCTGCAACTTCACAATCCCTGTCATCTTCACGTATGTCACGTGACTTGTACCTGATGACGTCAACATCACTTCACACCATTCTCTTCTGAAACACTAACGTTTCTAGCTTTGTACCAAATTTAAATTTGTGCTTCAGGAATTGTAGGGCTTTAAAGGATGTAAGTTGAACGTCACTTCACTTGTCAAATGATGACGTCATTATTACACGATGTCAATGTTCGTATATAACCCTTCCCCTTGCCATCTGCCAAGTTTCAACCCAATTAGACATGCACTTCAGGAGATATAGGGCTTTAAAGGTTGCACATTTAATGTCACGTGACTTGTTATCTGATGACGCCACGACCACATTTTTCTTCTACAACACTTCCGTTTTCAGCTATCTTTCACGTTTTAAGCCGATGGGACATGTACTGTACTTCAGGATACACATATAGAGTGGTTTGAAAATTGTACCTCTAATGTCACTCGACTTGTTTTCTGATGACGCCGTCACCAGTCAAGGTCAAAGTTCGTCTATGACCTTTCCCTTTTGAACTATCATAAATGCAATACCACCGTTCGTACAGTAATTCAACAACCAGCATTAGGCCAAAAAGTCTCCGGTTTTTGGTCACTCAGCGCGCTTCGCCGTAGTACACACGTACGTGCTGTGCGTCTTTTCGAAGACGTGTGTGGCTGTTAACTAAAAGCATCTTCAATGGAGCAATATTCAGTTCTAAATTTTGCATATAAAAAGACAAAAACAACGTCTGCAAAACCTGATAACAAAGCCATTCAGCTGAAGAGCTAGTCTTGATTCAAGATAGCCATTTCAATGCTCTGCAATTCCGATCTGTTTTTTTTTTTTCGTGTCAAACATCATACACCCCAGGCCCAGTCAGTGAAACACAAATCTAAAATTCTGGCAAACCATTGCAAGGTACACTGTTACTTCTGCATATTATAAATCTGGTTGAATTTACAAAATGAATGATGTAGGATTAATCAGTCGTAGCCATCACCAAAACCTAATATATGACATCAATCAGACACTGTACGTTTCCATTTAGACGGGCTACATAGGGGGTAAGGAGTTTGTAGATCGTCCCGCGAAATCATCAGGCACTTCTGACACTGGCGCGTACATGACAGGACACTTGTACCAGTTTTGGGGTAAAGAGTGACAATCTTGGAGCATGGTTAAATGATGTCTGTATTTGGAGGGCTTTGTATCGGGAAAACGGAATGCCCCATGGATCACCTCGGGAGGCTAGTTTTACTATACCACTCGATACAGTCAATATTTGTATGTGTCTGAGTAAAAAAGGGCAAAATATGACGGAAACGGAGCTGCCTGGTGACTCTCAGGAAGAGATGGGCCTCCCGTTTATCTTTGGAAATTAAAGACGATGGCCAGAAGTTCACTTTTCTTTTCAATTTTATAGGGGTTAGCCGCCTGCCTCTAAGTAGAATAAGTCCACAGGTTGGAAGTTTTTGTGAACGAAGTACCGGTACGCCGAGTTAGACGCCAGAATTCCAAAATTTGTGATAGATGAAAATCCCGATTATGCCACCTCTTATTGTAAATAAAAAAACCTCCTAGGATTACAAAGATAAGTTCATGAGCTGTCACGTAGAAATCTACTCACTTAATGGAATGTACCCTTTAATATTACCCTGAGGGGTCTCCCTCAGGTAAATTGGATAATACAATACATATAATAATACATACATGTACATAAACAGGACAGAAAGACAGTATTATTAATGCAAACTCTTTAAATTCCGTGCCCCTTTCTGCGGGGGGGGATTTTTTGAAGAAATCTCAACTAAATACGTGTCCTTTTCGGGTTAAATTTGAATAAAATCTGGTATATATGTTCAGAGTTCTTTGAATTCACAAGAACATAACAATTTTGAATTCTCCATACTACAGTCACTGTTGCGATACTCGTGATTTGGGGCAAGCTTTTCCTTAGTTACACAAGAGACGGCTTGCAACTGTTCTCAATGGATGAGGACACAAATGAACAAGTCCATTCAGGAGATGGCGGTCGCTAAACAAAAGCTTGCACGAATCAGGAGTTATAGCAACAGTGTCTTTAGTCTGGGGAATTCAAATTGTTGTATTTATGTGCGATCAGAAAACTCAGTGTACCAGATTTATTCAACCTTAACTTGCAAATGGCTTATTGGGGAATTTTCAGGTCCTTTTCCAGTTATTAGGACAGAATGGTCAATATGCCTCTCCAGAGAGGCACAGTGTACATTCTTTTGATATTGTCCCGTAATCTTTACTGTTTTGCAACTTCCTAAGACAAACGCTCATTTCTCCGCCCTTACATAAAAAAGCACGAAAAACGAACAGGGCGCCCCCTTTGGGCTTGTACATGGGTGCCGCCATCTTGTCTTTACCGGTTTCAATCTGGTTGATCTCCATTATAATAGTTTCACTACACTATATACGCGCCCATAGAAAACAGTGCAAAATTTAAAATTGGAGAGAAACAGCGCCGCCTGGTGACTCTCATTACCTAAACAATAAAAATAAAAAATACGCTTTGAAAGGCAATCAGTTAATCTCTGTTTAAATAATCTATCTTTACTTTAACTTAAATTCCGTTGACTTCCCTCACAATTTCATAATATTTTAATGAATGTTTTCAGGGTCAAAAGTCAGAAACGATTGAAGTCATAGTACCGTATTCATAAATGCCAATTAAAAGTATACATATACAGTGCACTTTCGTAATTGCATTTGTGCAAAAATTGTGACGGCCGATTGGTATCAAAAATTCAGAAGCTATGGCTGTTGTACTCCAGCTAACAAATTAATAGATAAACCTTAAACCACAGCGTCACAGACGACACACATCTGTCTGTATTGAAGAGAAGCCCAACTTAAGATCGACATTTCAGCACAGAAATTGAGGCACCTTTAAACGTCGAGAGAGCGTTTTTCACGAAGATCGCTACTTTGCTGCCAAGTACACACGTGTTGTGTTAGACAGTCTTTTCGGAGACATGTGTGGCTGTTCACTAAAAGCATTTTCAAGGCAGCAATATTCAGTTCTGAACTTTTCGTATAAAAAGACAAAAACAAAAGATCTGCAAAACCTGATAACAAAGCCATTCAGCTCAAGAGCTAGTCTTGATTCAAGATAGCCATTTCAATACTCTGAAAATTCCAATTTCTTTTCGTGTCAAACATCATACCCCCCAGTCAGTGAAACACAAAGCTAAAATTTTGGCAAAACATTGGTAACAGTGTTCTGAGGTACAATGTTATTTCTGCATATTAACTCTGATTGAATCTACAAAATGAATGATGCAGGATTAACTGCCCAGTCGTAGCTATCACAAAAAACCCTAACACATGACATCAATCAGACATTGTATGTTCCCATTTGGGCGAACTACATAGGGGGTAAAGAGTTTGTAGATCGTCCCGTGAAATCATCAGACACTTGTGAAACTGGCAGGTACATGACAGGACACTGGTACCAGTTTTGGGGCTTGGAGTGACGATCTTGGAGCATGGTTAAATGATGTCCGTAAAGGGCCTCTCGTTCCTGAACAGCGCGGTTCCAGTAATGTTCGTACAGGCTTTTGAATAATTGCAGCTCTTCGGGGGTTCTGGGGACGCTGTCTGGAGGTACTGTGGCCCGCGGTTTGCTAGCAGCTACAGAGGGGTTGGCTGTTTCTGGCGTTGGGAAATTCCAAGCACAGGTTTCCTTTCCAGAAGGAAGTCGGGTGAAATACTGAGGCACAGGTGAAAATGAAGATGTTTTATACTGGTGTGGGGCCACGCCACGGGACTGAAGGTGAACTGACTGAGGACCAGCGGTATGACTCTCTTTTTCGGTCCTTCCATCAGGGGCATTCAAGAAGCGGCTGATAGGTAGGGTGTGATGCATGCGACATCTCTCTTCATCGGGCTGGCTAACCTTAACGAGCCTGGGTGAAGAAGGGGGGTCTGGTTGACCACTTGAATTCTTGATGCCTTCAGCAGACTTGCGTGGAGAGTGGGCATGGATTTTCTTGGACGCTATAGGCATGCTCAAGTCTAGAGGATGCAGTTGAACGGCATTGTCAACACTTGTCGAGGAAGCTGGCACAGTATTGTTAGGCTGATTAGCGCAGACCAAGGGAGGGGAGATTCTCGTCACAGCCGGCAGGAGAGTAGAAGATGGCTCAACAGGTTGCTCAGCAAAGATAGGACTTGGTGCATTACTCCAAACGCGACCATGGCGCATCGCTGGTAGAACGCTGTTGCTATGCCGACTGGACTTCCTTCCGGTGGACTTTTCGTTGAAGGCATACGCTGGTAGATCGCTCTCTCTTGGGGCAAGTTGCGAAGATGACACGTTTGACTGTGAGGCCTGTAGGGTGCCGCTGCCCTGTCGAGTCTGCTCAGCCGTCTGGCAGTGGGTACAGTCCGGGTTCATGGCCCAGAAGTTGTCTTTGCCAAATGGGCGTTTGCTGTTTCGCAGCAGCTTGACGAAGCAGCGGCTTGAGGAGAGGTTATGACGGACGCTGTTCTTCCAGCCGACATAGCTACCCTGGAAACACTCATTATGTTCCTGTAGATAGGCCAGGATCTCTCGCAGTGTAAGCATGCAGCTGGGAGAGGCCTGTGGCAGAAACAAAAGTTGCACAAGAAATGTTACCAGAGTTTTCACTAATTACCAAATTTTCACTAGGTAAAAGGAATCTTCAATATAAAGGCCCGTCTTTAGCAATATGTACAACTTTAGACAGGGATGAAGAACGAGTATTACTGTTGTTCGGAATTTAGTTTATGGGAACAGTGCAATTAATTTAATTTTGACAAAATTAAACCTTTGTAAACCGCTGCGTGGATGCGCCACTGGCTGTATTCGAGTGTCGGCGGCAAAATAATGTCAACCCTATGTAAGTATATACATTGTAAACAAAAATTTCCATTTCACCAAGTTTGACAATACAATATGTCTTACATTTTGAATTTATGCATGAAGACAGTTTTTTCTCTCGTGCTACAATAAACCATGTTGTGTTTGGCTTTGAGCTAAGAGTTACAAAGTGGAACAGTTAATCCAATCGCTTTTTCGTCCCTTTTGCCTTTTTTTCTATCGTCCTTTGACCCTGACATTTTACTTTGATCGTCGATGGTTGACGGAAAAGGTGACCACGTAGGACAACGTGCTCTTTTATGCATATAATGCTCAGAAAGTGCGCAGTACGTACATGTACGTAATGTGTCCTGAGCATGATTTGCATAGGACGGGCGGCCAAAAGGGCCAAAATCGGCCAAAAGGGTCAAAATTAATTTTACAAAAAATAAAGTATTATACGTCGGAACCAAATTTGTTTCAGAATTTTCCAAATGATTTGCTTTTTGGGGCATATTGTTTTCAGATGTTGGTTATTTATTTTTCAAATTATTTCTGTTATAAATGTTTTAGAGTTTGTTTTGTGTTTTACCATTTACATTTTGATATGAAAATGTTGTCGCGGCCGCGAGTTAAATAAGTCGCGGCTGCGAGTTCATAAATCGCAGCCGCGAGTTACTGGCAACAACGAAAGAGAAACACACTGCCGTGAAAGAGAAACGCACCGCCGTGAAAGAGAAACACACCGTGGCCCTAACGGGCTTCCGTAAGCGGCAGATGAAATGCAAAGATGAATTGGTGACTAGGTGCTGTTGCATTCCTGCTGCAGCCAGCCCTTGATTGTCAGAGTCCGCAAAAATGACCTTTTGGTTCACTTTCCACATGAATTATTACTCTTGTAACAACATCATCTACCGTAACACTGAAAAATCCTTGGTGTAATAATTTTGATTTTTTGTATAAAACTCGTTCCTGTGTTGAATCACCTTTTGCACCCATTCAAATGTATCCACCAACTATGGCAGGATAGTGTATATTCTGTCTGTCTTCTCTGAACTCAAACGTTCAACCAGAAAGTACTTGAGGTCAATACACTCTTTTTTGGTGAAGGTGTTGTATTTGCTATCTTTTGAGAAAACAGTGGTTAAGTTATAGGATGGAACTCGAGTCCACGACTTCCAGCTTAATTGTAAATGCTTTAACTGTACTAATGTATTATCATTGAACGCAAAACAAAGTTACCATTGAGTAGTTACGTCATCACAGTTATTTCACCGATACAGGACACGGCGGACTTTTGAAATCGATTTACGAAGTCATTTTCCAGGACGTCATGAACTCTATGCGGTTATATTTAATTTGTGTCACAGATATTTGTTTGTTCTCCATCTTTGGTAAGGCACGTTCATGTCAAGTCAACATGGTTATCTGCATAATAACTTCTTTACAAAGCCCACCAACGTAATACATGTAACGTCCGTGACCGAATAGTCGCCAGGTCCCTATTGTCGAGACTGATTGGTTTTCATGGGTCTTACTAATTACCGTCAATACACCATCAACACACGATAGTAACCTCAACACAGCGGCAACTCCTCAAACATACAAGTTTAATCCAGTAGTTAGAGGTCACAAATCAATTTTCGAAATGGAATTTTTTTCTCACCAAAAAAAAAAAAAAAAAATGGTCTAGCACCGTACTGTTCGCCGCCATCTTGCCTGCGCTTGGACTGTACCATTTTGGTGTGGATATGGAGGTAATACCGTAAAGGGCACCGGCAGCTGCAGATGGTTTGTGCATTGCTTGGATCATGTTGTGTTGAGTTAGTATTTTGTAAATTTCAATCTTTTTTATTTGTGACTACGATCACTTCCTATTATGAAATCTGTACATTTTGTGGACGATCCAACTGACTGTCCAATGTTTGTTTATCATATAATATGACCAGTTTTCAAAGTAAGTGGCGAAGTAAGTTACCTGACGACTACATGGTCACGCACGTTACAATGTCCGTGGGTGACATTAGAACCTTACCTTGCTTACGGATGCCCACCTGCCTAAAAAGTAAATGGCATAGACATAATAAGGAAACGTTTAATTCAATTTTAAACCATGCGTATCTTTTCATAATCATACCTTTATAGCCATTGAGATGAGTTCAACGTAAGAGTGTGGCGCACTGACTCTGCGTTTGTAGCCGGGTCTCCGAATGCCCTTGGTAGACATTCTTCGCCTGGTGGTAGGAGTGTGGGGCTGGATTCTGCCACGATTCGGACATGATTTCCGATCAAAGTCTGCCTCTCGGTCGGAAACTTGATTGCCATCATTTTTCAAGGAACCTCCCTCCTCCATCGGCTCTGTTTTGACCTGTACCATCATGGCCTCTTTTTTTCAAATCAAAATCTTCGAGAAACTTTCCAAGAGATGTATCAAGAGTTAAAAACTTCTAAGAGATGTATTAAGAGCCAAAGCTCGCACACTACGAACATGCTACTAGTGAGGCAGTTACCTCGCAATAAACGGTACCTGTGTCAATGTACTGTGCCCTTTTAGCTAGAATCACTGGAGTGATTCCCGGGAAATGCATTCAGTTCACTTGGTCTTTTCAGAGAGAATGAAAGCAATTTGCATGCAAACCTAGGCTGAGCCCTGTAATTGTTTATCGTGGTCTTCACGAATACACCAACCAAGTTGAATAATTCGCATCAAAGAACTGCCTGTCTGGGCGTCTCTATTGAGTTTTGTTCTTTTTATTAGCTGGGCAAAGAGGGTTTCCTTTCAACCTTTGATACAAAGGTATGAGAATTCAGACTCCAACCCAAGCTCAGTCATCCATACGACTTCATTCAGCTGAACGCCAGAGAGAGATCTGAATAAGTGGTGCATCTATTGGATCCCATTGTGTGGTTAAGTTCGTAACATTGGCTTTTGGCCTCACGTAATGATACAGGTGCAATAAACTGCGGCTACATCATAGGGCACAGTCCTTCAGCAGGGCAGCAGATGTCCCTAACAAAAGCTTTCACTGGTCTTGCGTTAATCAATTGTGTTTACAGTCTGTGCATTTAACTCCTCCATCTGTATAGAAAACAGACAATAGTGTTTGTCAAACGGTTACATATTTTAAATGCACTTCATTACGCATGCAAGCGTTTTCAGCAGCAGTTTTAACTGCTTCAACTTCCAAAGTCCACATCATATACGCCGCCACCTATAGTTTTGGCCGATGCCCTAACACAGATTTACTAACTGAATAAAAGACAAATCCTATCTTTTTCTCATTTATTTTTGAAGGGTATTGACGAAAAGAAGGTACAAAACATACAATAAAACTGCAACATAAGAAGTGAAAAATCCAATTTGACTGGATCGATGATTTCGGTCTTGTTAACGTTCGAGTCCAGGCTTTTGTAAGGGGAGGGGGTACATTGTGTTAGGCTTTGTTTCATACACCACAGTGTAAGAGCTAAAACCTGCCATTTCAACTTGAAGACGTTTCGTGAGATCTGAATTTCTTGACAGGAACTGACAGTCTTTGCTGCTTCTTTACTATAATTCGGACGGTGCTTCACATTTTAGGGTGTTCTTGGAAACACAAGGACTGCATTCCTATTGTTCTGGATAAGGCTCTGACAAGCACTCACCCCACCCCCGAAAGTACGCCAAGTTTGCCCCATGATCGATTCGTCACATGATGCCTTTAAAACGCACTGGAAGGGGATTATCTGCTTTGAAAGGTTGGACTCAGCGTTCCCAGTTTGGCGGGTGCTGGAAAAGCGGCAACATCACAAGGTCAGCGCCCTCTTCCTAAGAAAGCTTCTCGTAATTAAGTTGTGGTTTCAAGAAATCTTCAGAAAATAAAGACATCGGGGTGAACACAAACTACATGTAGAATGGGCGTATATCCCTGGGAGATGGGGGTATATATCTCCATGTCGCGCACACTTGGGGGGGGAGCTATTGAACACCCCACACACTTTTTCGTGGTGAGGAAAACGTTAAGGCAGATCGTGAAGAATTTCTTGGACTTTCCAGTAACATAAATGTATTCTATAGAACTCCGACACGGAAGACATTCTAAAAATGCCATACATATGCCATTCTGGCGTACGATTCTGCACAAATGTACTACATATGTACATCTGTATCATGAACATAACCCGCTAAATATGTTATGATGGTGTCAGCACCCCCTCTCTTCAAATTTCCATGATCTGGCAAGTCATCCCCACAACCCCCCCCCCCCGATTTTCGGCACAAATTTACGCCACTGCAAACTAGTATTAGCAGTTCCCTACTCAGGCTCGATTTATTATTGATACTGTGACAAGAAAATACAACAATGGAGACCTTCACTTGAGCACTCACATGCTACAGCGTACGCTATCTTGCAAAACTGTGTTCACTTCAACAGTGGCATCTATGGAACCAAATCAAACCTAAAGCAGTGATCTGTGTTAAGTTTGAGATCAGCAAGGCTTGGGAAGATCTGTGCAAGAGCACGACTATAATCTTCTCATCAAAGAGACTCTCGTAACTTTCCTGTTGTATGATACTTCTTTCTCCTGATACACTGTCCAATCCGCTCTGAGCGCAACAGAGGAGGGCGTGGTTTTTTGGTACTCACCCAGTGCTTTGCACCTCCAGCAAAATTAATGTACTCACTGCATAACCGCGCGTTTATAATAGCCTAAGATCAATGGCGCGTTTGACAAGGAGCACGCTGAGTACGCATAACGAATTTATTCGGCTGAGTTCGAGTGGCTTGTTCTCGTATTTTCACGAACAGCTCGATTTGTTGTTCGTGGGTCGGCTGCTCGAATGCAGGTGTGGCGGTCTCAGCTGTCTCCCGGTCTCAGCGGTCCCCCTGAATAACCGGACATTAAACGAACGACTTTCCCGTTGTTGTGCGCAGAGATGGCATGACGTATTTTACCACATATGGTAAGGGGACCGCTGAGACCACTAGTAGTTATTTGTGGCAAGCAACATGGCGGCGTCCTTTGCGGCTGTTCAAAAATCAAATCTCACGAGCTTTTCAGTGTGTTCGTGTAAAACCCTGACGAGGGAACGTACACGTACGAAGGTAGGTAGGTCCATGGAGGAAGGACACAGGAGTTTGAACTGTCCGGGCAATAACATCTGGCCAATTACCGCTTTCTGGTATGCCCGGTATGTCCATAGCCAGAGCGCAGCGCACGTCTGCTACTCACCACCTGTTTTGCAACCATAAACCTCCTTTGTACCCCATAGGTGCAGTGTACCAATTCAAGGAAAAGTACCCCTGTAGATTTTTTCGAAAAGAGGGGTTTGTTTGGGCCAAAAAATGGTTGGATTGTGCCAGTATGGCCCAGAATTATCTTTGTAGATTCAGGGGCACCCATCTGGGGGCAATGCAGACAAAAATGTGATTGAAAATTTGTCAGAAGAGCCCCCGGAAGGTGAGGGATGATTTGAAAAATGGCCGCTGAGAAGACTTGGGAACATTCCTTTTTTGGGGGGTGAGTTTGTTTTTGGCGGATAATTAAAAAAATCATTGGTTAACCTACTAAAAATTGAAAATCAAATGAAATCTGAAGAACCAAACAACACATTGTTTTTGTTTGAAAGGCTTCAGAGACTTCAGTTGCCTGCCATGGGGCTCCAAACTGTCTTGGTTGATTTTACAATATTTTCAATACGGCTTGAATTGGTTCAGTGCACCCCCATGATCATAGCCGCAATTTTTCGTTGGTAATCTATATCCCTAAAACGTTGTGTAATGCAGTATAGGAAGTTGAATATTCAATCCATCGTTGGTGCTTGATATGATCTGACAACAACGTTAAATTTAATGCTTGCACAGTTGCTTTTTTAGGCTGTGTACCTGAAGTGTTCATGTGCAGTTGTTGCCCTTATCGAACGCTTTCTTCTGGACTTCTTTTGGGAATAAATAGCCAAGCTGTTTGTAAGATTTGAGTTTTATTTGAATCATTTTTATTACGGAATTTACACAAAAAGGTATTTTATGATACCTCATGATCACTCCCTCTGATGAAACAGCGCATTTTGTTTTTCGTGAACTTGACTGCCCTAGTGGTGTTCAACATGTTGTTGGCCAGTCTTCGCCAAACTCGTACAAAGACTTTGAAAACTGATCTTTTGGAGTGACAAAATAAAATTACAAACATATGCATGGATAATGGAGAAGGGCATCAAAATCTTTAAAAATTATTCAAAACGGCATGGGTAAATCTCATGTTAGATTTTTTTCTTTCTGTCACCTGGTCACTGCGATAAGTTGAAGTTAATTCCAAAGAAAACACCTCAAATATTGTTACGATATTACCGGCGCCGAATGACGAACGCCTTGACCATGGCTAGCAAGAACCCACTTGGAAAACTTTAGTCTGGTTCCATGCCCAAAGATTCCCTGACGACTCTTGATAAAAAATTCTTAGGTCAGCATCACCCACAGATATAAATAGAAATGACACAAGGATCAGGGGTCACAAGTTGAGAGCCCGGGTGTTTTCAAATCCATCAGTGGCAACATCTCAAAAATGAGGCTTTTCCCATATCCACTGGGTAATACTGCAAGTGTATCCCCACTGAGAGCATGTTTCAAGCACAAAGTCTGCATTGGTCGAAGAAAATTATATTCTGCATTTCGGCCGGGGCGACCTCCGATTTCAGTGTATAAAATCAAACATTGTAGGATTGCCATTAGGATACCGGAGTTTACGTTCAACAGCTAGCCTACCTACCTGGCCGGGAATAACCGAACATCAGCGGTACCATCCAAACATGCCGAATATAGACGGGACGATTTCGGAATATTTCGGCTATTTCCGGAAAACTGGAGGAATTCCTCCAGTCTTGGTCACCTGGAAATTGGGTGATTTGTAGAGTAGTCAGAATTATCGGGCCTGGTATCCAAACTAGGAAAACTTAAACAGCCACCTGTCTTTCTTTTGCCACTTGGGGTGCACTTCAACTCGGGTCATATATCGATATGCACTGCTTTCGTCGAACTCCTCCTTTATCCAAAGTTATAGTCTCGGTCCTTCTAATTACCCATTAAGGAGAAACGTCCCAAAACGATGAGAGAGGGCTTTAAACGTTTATCTATCACACCGCGGCTTGGCAAGAACCCTTACGAATCTGATAGAGAGTGGGATGAGTCAGGTTCCGCCGTACATGAAATTCCTCTGTTTTCGAACGCGTGATCAACTCTTCTCCAATATCTTCATTATCCGAATAGTATTCATAAAGTTTATGTTCACAGGTGAGAAGTCGAACATTTACACACGAGCGCATTTTGGGTTATCTTTAACAAATTTCCTCAACCTTGATGTACATACAACCGTCTCATCGTACGTTGCAACCTCGTGAGACCTTTTTGCGTAAAGGAAATTATGGACGGTGTCAACTTCATCTTTATGGGCGACTAACCCCGACGGCATTTCCTTGTGAACGTCCAATAAGAAGACTGTATCTTTCTTGTTCTCATCAATAACCATTTCCACATCATCTCGACCCTGTTGGAGTTTCTTTTTGAAGGCATTGGTGGTCCAACATTGCATACCATCAGAGGCTCGGCATTTACTTTGCACCTGCGTCGGTAAACCATTTTATATGGGTTTATGCAATCATGAAGTTTGCCGACGGAGTGTCGGCAAATTTTATGTACATGTACCCATGGGACGGAGGTGTACCCCCCTTACATGTCCAATCCCTATACACACTCTAGACTATTGTCTAACACATCCCCCTAGATGTCTGGAAAGGACTGGGATTCCGATCAAACAATGACCAACACAAAGGTGGGGGTGCTCTCCGTCCCATATCTTGCTTCATATGTATATAAAAGTACAGACTTCCAAGGCCAGTCCTACCGAAAGCACTTCTGGATCCATCCGATCTTTCCACGAATCGTTTCAGTTTTGTCCAAAATTCGCCGTCAAACAACCTTCCTTTTTCCGTGACAAACTTCTTCGTGTCCTGACGTAGTGATACAAAAGCTCTCCAACTTTGGAGATGAAAAGTTGGAAAATGCTTTGTCTATAAGCCTCTTTCAACTGTTCTTGACAGTATTGCAGAATGGCGATGTCTTCCAATGAAAAAGGTAAACAGGGGTTTCAATATTATAAGCCACCACTTTACAGCCAAATTCAAGTATAATGAAGATTAAATTCATTCATGCATGCTTTCAGTACAGCGGAAGTATAAGTCGGCTGTTATGGACAACAGATTTATACCCTCGTCATGACTGGGTAGAGCATCGATCACGTGCTCGGATTAATGTCTCATAAAAGCCATTTTAATTGTTTGGAGAACGAAGTTTAACTACACTTAATGTTTTATTGGCTGAGACAAATCGGCGTCAAGAGGATACAACCTCAGAAAACCTTTGACAAGAAAAAAAAATAATTATAATAAAATAAAAAATCAAAACAACTTGAATATCCAAGCCAAGTTCCGGAGCAGTATCCTTCGTTTGTGATCAACTCTCTGCCCATACCATGTGCTTGGCTGGTCTCCGTCTCGGGAGAACGGACGCTGGGCCTCCGGATTTGGCCTAGGCATGACTGGCGCGTCAAGCACACATTTATTCCCTTATCAAACTACTGACAGGAGATGCCTGTGCTCATTTATGATAATAGTCTATTAAACTTATTATATACTTGCGAGGGGATGGTTATTAGTATTACAGAGTATCCACCAATCTCTCTGTTTAGATATGATCATGGAGAAATAAAACACATTTCTCCATGATATGATGTAATTCTATTTTAGTTATGGCCGCTGCAGTGGACGCTCATCGGCGTCATTACGTTCCAACTACAGGCTGCCACAATGATCACCAACTGTACGTTAAAAGAAATGTATCTCAAATCGTAGTCAGGTCCCGTCTTGCTTGTAGCATAAAAGCTATACTTGACGGTATGGGTAACAGACATCGAATATATTGTTGACGCATGAGTCAAGATCACCAGATGATGATCGCGGACTGTTGTGCACGAGAAAATAAATAGAAAATTGCACGTATTTTTGTTCTTATCCCTCAGATGTTTGCTATAGATAACTTGCAGTAAACGCACTTGAATAACTGCGGAACGTCTGATTTTCTTCTGAACATAAAACTGAACGTTACCAATACCAAGCTAGTAGCCCTACTACTAAAAACTGGCAACGACGCAACGACGACGTATTGAATATATACTACAGGCCTTCCGCATCGGCAGATCGGGTAGGCACAGATTAACATAATGTAGTGTAGGCTACTTCTGGAGACCAAAATGTACTTTTGTGTACCTTTTTGGTCATTTTACTGTCATGACTGTACACAGGATCGTAACACTGTCTGTTTTTAAATCCAGCGTCAGAAGTAAATTGTAACACAAATTCTACTTTCTCAGTCATCATGGTCATGCATGACTGAGTCAAATTTTCCCATGACCATACTTTTATGACTATGCTATGAAAGCCATCATGTATGAGCTTAGGTGTGATGTGTACCCGTTTTCAAAATTTCAAAACAGTGCTTTTTAGACAATGAGACTGACCGTTGTTGTTTTTTTGAATCAGGACTTTTGTCTTGACAATCTTTCATTCTCAACCCAACAATGATTACACCATACCATGCTGTACATGGTGTGCATCACACTGCGCAGGCGTCAGATCAATGGCCATGATGATGGCAGAGCTTGCTCTGTTCTTTCACGCAACCCGCTGGTATCGGCCAAGTCACAGGACGGTCATGCAATGGAAACAAGTTTCCATTCCCTGCCACTGACTGGAATTGTCGAACCGAAATGTGGAGCCACCTGTAGCTAGTTCAGCCATTGGCCAGATGCATACGCAGTGTGATGCATTCATTACCTTCATTTTACGCTGTCTATCAGGTTTTTTTTTCTGTTGTCTTCATTTTAATTCTGTTTGTTGGGTTCTTCCATTGCCATGGTTGTGTTGATAAGTAGTTTTTTTTTAATCGTCATTCGTCTGTTTATTTTCTGTGTGTTGTTAGGCATCTGTCACCTGTGCCAGCTTCTTGAAAAGTCTTCTATTTTTGAGCATTTTTATACTTATTTAACTATTTATCTATTATTGATGTTAATGTAGTGGTAATCTATTCGAAAGTGCGAAAATAAATGGCTACTTGGCATTGAAAAAAAAAAATAAAGAGTAAAAAAGAAAGGGGGAAAGTCAAGATAGGTATTGTTTACTCAGATGCATGATTAATAACCTACATGTGTGTTGTCTTCAAAACCATCCTTTCAACATTTACATTTTACTCAAACCAAAGATGGAAACAGTGTGTCCAAAAATACTCAGACAGCAGTGTACAAGTGGTTGACCTTTCAATATGTATATTTTAACTACTTCTTTTTATTACTAGATTGCATAGATTGCTAAGACACTCATCATGTTCAGCTCTGGCTTCAGATCCACAAAATTTTCAACATCGGCTCGCCTGTCAATCAACAGGCTTAAGCTACTGGAGAGGAAAAAGAGTAAGAGAATACCAAGAATTGAAATTGTCAATTTGGAAGAGTTATGACGACTTCGTTTGAAACAATGCGTGTAATTAGTCACAATAATAAATTTAGTAGTTCATCTGTTCTGAAAATATGATCAGTTCATTATTCAGACTTATAAGTATTAATTAGTAAGCCTTGTGATTGTAAAGTGAACGTGCAAGTAGATTTTCATCAGCCATTTTGGTTGTTGAAAGTTCACACTTTGTCAGGAACTCGGAGCAAAATAGGGCACTGCTGGCCATTCCAGTCTCTGGTCTCTCTGGTCATTGGTGGTGTGAGTAGGAACCTTTGCTGGTACTTAAAGTGAGTAGTTTTGTCTTGTCCTTATGATCAAGAATTGGAGCACCCAGATAAAAATTATACTTGTTTGATTTGGACATTTCTGTGTGATTTCAATTGTATTCAGCTGAACAGGCACAGAAAGCAAGGAAGGAGATAGCAGATTATCTGTCCATAGGCAAGGATGAAAGGGCCAGGATAAGGGTGAGGAATATTCAGTCACTTACGTTGGTGTGGGTTTCATTTTATGTTGAGTTTCAACCTTCAGGTATGTGACTTTATAAACTTTGTATTCTTAGTGTTGTTTGAGCGGTTTTGGGTAAATTGACAAAGTTGCTCGGATGAAACTAGAACCTAGGACCTGCTTGCTAGTGCATTTGCCTTTTGCGTTCAGCTTGTCAGTTCAGATTTAATGAGACAGTTTACACCACAATCAAATTCAAAATTCCTTGTTGAAGAAGTTTACAGCAGTGAGAAAATAAAAGAAATAGTGATACCCTTAAAAGTTTCTTTGTATAAGACATCATAAATATTTGTGGTAGTTATGTGAGTTTTATTCTACTTTGGAGGAGGTAAGCAAGAACGATAAAGAAATCCACTTCTTAGCCCATCGTATCAATGCATGTGAGCTGCGGTGCTTCATCTGCTATCTGCTAGCCGACAGCTCGTGTGACCTATTTTTTGTAGCTTTTACTGCCATTTATACCTCAGGTTGAACACATCATTCGTGAGGACTACTTGGTAGAAGCAATGGAGATTGTGGAACTGTACTTAGACCTCTTGCTTGCCCGACTGGGTCTCATCACCTCCACCAAAGCGCTGGATCCGGGCATTCAGGAGGCAGTAGCCAGTGTCATCTGGGTCACACCACGAATGTCTGCGGAGGTTGCTGAATTGAAATTGGTAAGGGAGAACAGAGGCGTGACTTAGTTTGCGAAAGGTCTTATGGAAAGGGCTTATTGTCCAGCAGCCATTGCAAGTTATTTGCAGGTGTTATTTTTTCCCAGTGCTTCAATATCATGCCACTACAAACTGTAATATTCATTGGACTTGCCATTGATTTAAACCCTCAACCAACAACATAGAATACCTTTCTGTATTATGTTTTATCATTTATACAGGTGTCAGAACAGCTTGTCCACAAATATGGAAAAGAATTTGGAGAGTCTGTCAGAAAGGGAGAGTGTGAGTTTATCAACGAAGGGGTAAGTGGTAATTGGAATCTATGGTTTTGTTGTAGGATGGTATATACCATTTTTTTTTTGCTGTAATATTTTTTGCTGTAATAATTAAGATCAGCTAATTTAGGGTTGTAAACTTGACTATTACCGATTGAGTCCTACAACATCAGAACACACACAAACTCGGTACCCGTTAATGGATATGGTATTTAAAATGAAAGAAATTTTTACACACAGGTTGGCCATCGTTAAAAATGAGAACAAAGTTTCTGTTTTTGAAAATGACAGCATTCTGGGCGGAAAGATTTTACAGATTGACTGAGGGTGTTTTTTACTTTTCTGCAAGTAAGATATTTAAGGATTGTTCACCAGTCCCATATTTGTGATTTTTACCATTGGTGTGAGCTGCCTTTTAAGTATTTATGAAAAATTCACTTCGCATTGAATAACATATGTCATACTGCTTGCATCAATGACTAACGATGCCCAACAGCAGTGAAAATGCCTGTCAAGTCAGAATTCAAAGGAAGCCAGGAGGAAAAGCGACACTGGTACTAGAAAGGTAGATTGGACCGCACGTGCATGTACATGTAAATAAACGTTGACATTTCTCACACAGCTTAAGCACAAGCTTGGGGTGCAGGCACCGCCCAAACGCCTCGTGGAAAACTACCTGGTGGAGATAGCCAAGAGCCACAATGTTGCGTATGAGCCAGATCCCTCCATCCTCAATGTGAGTTGTGCATCCTGTGTCCAGGATACTGGAGTGGCAAGAGTATAGGTTCCAATCTATTTCTCTCTAGAACTAGCTGTCCATGTGTGAAAGGTTACACGTACAGAATAGCACTCCCGTGGGGAAACAGTTATTGCATTTTAAGTTGCTCTTTATTCGAGAACAGCATGCAATCTTTGTTTGTCTTACTTAGTATTTCTTGTTGGATGTTCTGTGTTTTTCAAATATTAAGGTCGTTTTTATGTTTCTGTTATTTCATTCTCTGTGGTGATTGGCCAGTGACTTTAAGTTGGAAATTTAACCCTCTGCACAGTATTGAGGCCACAGCAACTTACAAAATTTACAAAATACGAAGCTTACTCATATCAAAAAGTTAAAGCAGGTCAGCATGGTTGAGGGCTAACAGCCTCAGAGTCTCAGCCTGCCAGCCACCATAAGACCTGACCAGATCCACCTTCCAGAACTGTTGGAAGGTCTTGGTATTCTGTATATGTATCTGTTGCACCTGTTGTACCTGTTGCATTGGATAGGGTATCCAAGAAGCCTGAGAAAGAAGGCATTCAAAGGAATGTGATTGGTGGCTTGGAAACCCAATCCACCTGAGGTACAGTCGACTCTCGTTAATACAAAATCGGCTATAATAAAATTCCAGTTATAAAAAACACACATCTGTGGTTCTGGAGAAAATATCCACATTTCTACAAGGAGAAAATTTGTTACAGCAAAACCACATCGTACGAAATACCTTTTACTGTGAAAGGTTTTGTGATTCTGTTGCCTGAAAAAGTATTGTTGGAGACCCATTTATAACAAGCATTTGCAAATCCATGATCGCAAAATTGAAGGCTGAATTAGTCATGAACAGGCATAGGTCACTTGTGTCAGTTGTTTAATCTTGCTAACACAGGGATCTGTTCATGGTAAGGTGCTAATAAGCCATTTGCGAGTTAAGTTTGAATAAAATCTGGTACACTGAGTTATCTGATTGCACATAAACATAACAATTTTAATTCCCCAGACTAATGGCACTGTTGCTATACCTCATGATTCAGGGCAAGCTTTGGCTTAGCGACCACCATCTCCGGAATGGACTGGTTCCTTTGTGTCCTTCTTGTCCATTGAGAACAGTGTATTGTTGCAAGGCGTCTCTTATGCAACTAACGAAAAGCAACAGTGGCTTTAGTATGGAGAATTCCAATTATTCTGTTCATGTGAATTAAAAGAACTCAGTGTACCAGATTTTATTCAAATTTAACTCGGGAAAAGGCTTATTGGTAGGACTGTACTGTCACTAACCGCCCATTTTGGTTTCCAACAACAGCCAGTCATTAAAGCGTGCCGATAAAACGTGCGCAAGACATCAAAATGATAGTCATCAAAGTGCACAGCATGTTCTCACATCGCCAACCTCAATGCCATCACCCTGCAGTAACTTCTTCCAACACCACATCACATCATGTCAAATAAAGGTCCCGAACTCCTTATCCTCTCCCTTCCTGCAAAAAACAGAATCCTTCCTCTGTTCCCATAATTTAAGAATAAGGCAATTTGAAAACATAAATTAAAAAAAATAACCCCAAAAATTGCAACCCCCCGTAACACAAGAACAAAAAGCATTTCCTCCCCAGTTCCAGTAACAGTACACCCCAAATAAGTCGGCTAAGTGAACCTCTCTTCAGTGGCCTCTTAGGAAGAAAAACAAATTTACTCAGCTCCTAGCTCAAGGCACTTGTAAATGTGGAAACCGTGTTGAAAACCTCAACCCCAAAAAGTCTTTCCCCTGTTCTCATAATTTAAAATTAAACCACCTAACCCAAATAAATTACCCCCTGGTCATCCTGAGTTACAGAAAGACAGACAGCCATAAGAAAATACAATGTCAAAAATATTAACCAAAAATTGCACCCCAGGAACACTAGAATATAAACATTTCCCTCCCAATTCAGATAAAAATACACCCCAAAAAAGCTCACAAAATTATTCTCGCTTCTTAAGAGAGAAAAACAGATTTACTGCTGTCTCACGCTCAAAATATATGCACCTTCAGTGATCATCTCACGCAGCACAGGGTGCTTAACGTAAACTGATCAATCGTATTCATGCTGCTAGTGTTTAACGTCAAAAGACGCATGTAAAATGAAATACACATATCTTTCCATGACTCAGTTTGTGCTGTTAAGACTACTTACATGTACATGGACGGGGCTTCATTTGGTTAGTCTTCAATTCTGGTAGGTACATCATACATGTACATGCCATTGTTAGGTTGATTTCATCCTCATCCATTAGTCATTACAATTGACCGTCTATAAAAAATTTCATTAAATATGTTTTCATATCACAATGAGGTTTATATTATTTGTATTATTCATTCATATGTTTGCATATTTCATGCATATTTATAAATCTACATTATACATGTGCATTTATACAATAGGATCTATTCATACAATACACCAAAGCCATTTGCAGAGAGCTCCACATACAGCAAATTTTTTACACAACAAACGTTGTCACTGGGTCCTATGGATTTTGTAATAATGAGAATAGATTGTAGAGACTGAACTGTGATTACTAGAGATGGTATGTGAGAAAAGTAGCTCAAGGCTAAGCCGGCTACCACCATAAAGGAAAGACATACTTATTAACGTTGACAGGTAGTGAGTTTCAGTGAGTGGTTTTACACATAGTCAGGTCTTAGTGCATGATTTTTTAAGTAATATTATGTAAATTATTGTATTTGTTATGCCTGTGTTTGCTTAGCAAGGAGTAAGCTTTGAAAAGCACTCTTCATTATCTGTTCAACTCCATTCCAACTCTTGATTGAAATAGGTTTTTCCCAGACAATGAAAAGATAATCTTTACCTGTACTTTTAAGCCATTATCACATGCAGAACAATATGGCCGCTGGCTTAAAGGCGATCCTGAAGAACGTGGTGGTGATTTGAAGAAGACATAAATGTACCTAGAGGGTTTGTTAATGGTTTCTTGGCACTTTCTGACAGCCTCCTGACATTGACGGGCTCCTGATGGATCTTGGAGATGAAGCCCTGTCTGGAAACAAGAAGGGTGGGGGAGGCGGTGGAGGAATCAGTGTCCAACTGCCTCCTCAGCAACAGAATTACCCCCCTCCTGCCCAGGTGTACCCCCCTCCTGCCCAGGCCTATCCTCCAGCAGCCCAGGGGTACCCTCCCCCAGCTAGCAACCCGGCCTACCCTCCCCCGACACAGACATATCCCCCAGCTGCGGTAAGAATCGTCTGTCTGCGCTATCCGTGAAAGTCTGGCTGTGTGCTTTCCGCATGCAAAGTTAAACTCTCTATCACTCTGCTGTTCTTTGGTTCGAGGTTTCAGTGTCATTGTTGCCTGAATGTAGTCTAAGTCCAATCCATCAGAAGTCCTTTCACAAGTCCAGTCACAAGTCCTTTCGCTAGACAGTCACAATGTGGACAGGAATGCTTTTGTCCTTGTTCCTTGGAGTAGCTTGCTACATGGTTTAAGACTGGATGATGTGTGATGGACTTTTGCTAGACTTACAGGGGCTTGTGATGGACTCTACTATGGCACATGCTACCAGAGTGTAATTCATGCCCATACTAAACCATCTTGCTGTGTTACTGAGAATTGATCATTGAGAAATACACTTTGATACCTGTGAATTGCTTTTGTTATGAACAGAGCCAGAAATGTTGGAAATGATTTTACCATGCACTTTCATTTTTCTCCTGGGTTACTGCATTGATGTAGCAATAGCAACGTGCGTATTAACCTCTGCATAGAACAGAATGTTCTTGTAGTGAAGCAGTATTCAAAATACTAATTGAATGCATGTGCTGGAAGTCAAGGGTCTGAGCCTGTAATCCCGGCAGAATCTTGCCAAAAAAGTTTGTACAACTGTTCGACAGCCTTTATTAACACACACCCCTCCAAAACTGTGGATTAAAGCAGATCAACATAAAAATAGAATATTCTCAAAAAATATGCTGTAATTAAATAGGTTGCTTGCACTGACAATGTTTATTTCCTACCAATTCTCTTCAATCTACCATTTTTGATGTCAGGCAGTGTCCAGAGCAGGCATTGTTGTCTATGGCTGTGGCTGCCATCATGTCACACAAATGGCAAGAAAACAAAGCCGTAGCCACAACATACCCAATCAAGTCTTGATTATCCAATACGCCTTGAGCAGAAGTACCCCCCTTATTGGTTGAAAAGAGCCATATTGTTCAGGAGTGTTCAGTTTGCTGGTAGCGACACACCCGTTCCTACAGTTCCAACCGAATGAGCCTCCTTTGCTAGGAAAATTGCACCCTCTCTTGATCTAGCTCGGGGCTCATAGGCACAGAAGATACTCTGTCTGCCTGGGGCTTATTAAAAAGTAAGAGGTCTGTGAAAAATTCAAGGACTTGTAAAAGGGGACAATGCGCACAAACCTTCACACAAGTTGTTGAAAGTTTGAAATTTTGTTAAGTTTAAAACTAGCTCATACATAGCTTAGTAAGCTGACTGATGTTGGGCATGGTCAGTTGGTTTGCACAGTCGCTTGATAATCTTGTTATTCAGTCGTGCAGACTGAAAGATTGAGCCCTACAGTGTGTATAAACAGCCATATACCCAATCTGGACAGACCTGTAAAACCCCAAAGATGGTAAACTGGAAAGGATTATGGGTAATGATGGAGAGAGCAAAGCATACATACGCACTTACTTTGGGCATTTCTTGCTTATAAATTCGAAAACACATTGCCTTTCAGTGGATAGGGAACGCAATGGTATAACGTCACACCACATTGCGTACATTGTGCAACAAATTAAGATCACTTTTATGAAACTCATACACTGCGTAAGTCCACGACTTACACAACAAATTATGGCGTAACTTATGCGGTCATTTTCTAGGAGGTGTAAGTTGTGCCGAACAAAACAAAACAAAAATACATCTTGAAAAAAACAAAAATGAATGATTTAACTTGCTCTTCATGTTTGGTTAAGGCTCATCATTGCTGAAGTTAACAAGGCTTATACGAGAAACATACAACTTTGTTAAGGTAATGAAAAACTTGTTTGACTGTGAAAGAACTGTGAGATTTTCTGACCAGTTCCAATGAAGGAAGACGAAAACTCAAACCGTGTTTTGTGAAATCGGCTGCAGGCCTTGCCCTGAACAGCGGACTTGAGCATCCGTTACCGTGATGTCCGAATGCACTAGCTGCAGTGTCCCATGAAAAAACCTTATTCCATTGCGAAGTTGGCCACAATGCCCTTCACTTAGAGTGAAATCTGCTCAATGCTTCCTTTGTAGCCATTACTGTTGTTGATATATGTTCTGTCTGCAGTGTGGAAAAGCACTGAGTTGGTGTGGTCTTTAACCCAACCACAACAAAATCATACAGAAACGATATGGGTCAGCCATACTGGAAACCAGACTACTGTCTGTGCAGTACATGTGTGTACATGCATCTATGGTAACCTGTCCTTGGCTGGCTCTCCATCCCTGCAAGAGACACATTAATGTGTGGATATCATAGAAGAAAACATAGATACCGCTCAATGCATTTGAATGCAAAAAGTCAAGTATGAGGCCTGGCTAAGACACTGCATGTGAAGCTGAAAAACGGCAAGTGTACACCCACTATTCAATGCAGTGGAGTCACAAAACAAACTGGCATGTATGTATTTGGTGCTTGTGTTAACTAACGTTGGGTTATGCATGCATTTTGTCCTTTTACGTTGCTGTGCCTTTTTGTTTGGTTTGATTTTGTTTGTAAATCCATCTCCCTATGCGTAGAGTTTAAGAATGAATGATTCCCGGCCACCATCCTACAACAATTTGGCCTCATCCCATGGGCCCCCTTCCCGGCCTAATGCACCCCCTGTTGGTCCTGCTACTCCGAGGGTGAGTGGAAATTAGGCTTAACATGGGTTCTCAATTGGGTCTTTCCTTGAAGTTGGGGCATATTTTGTGGCATTTAAGCTCAAAACATACGTGGGTCGTAAGAGGTTCCCCAGAAGAATTGGCTTGTTATTTGTGATGATAGTTGTTACTTGTCAAGTTGTTCTTAAATGTTTCAGAGCATTTTTCAATTAATCAGCATGTTATCTTTAAGCAAACTGGTTTCAGGTGTAACAAAAACACTGCTTCATTTTGAGCATGTTTCATAAAGAGTTAATATGCGAGGGCACCAGTTTCCCAATTAAACAGAAAGGAGAGAATGCAGCTCCCCATTCCAAATCTAGCAGCTAAGAAATTGAATGTGAAGTCTTGGGGATTTTTTGAAGAAATCAAGCCATTCGATATCCATCGTGAAGTGTCTGTGAATAACTAACGAGACTTTATATTTGATTTCCTACTGTAGCTTGGTTTGGTTTGTCTGCAGCTTGTTGTTTGGGGGAAACTAGTGGACCAAAATGTCAACGCCCTTGCCCTGTTACTTCTAAAACCAGCTTTTCTTGTCAATTGGGCAGCGGGGACATCTGGGAGTTTCACAGAATTGCGGGTAGCAACCACACCGCGCTGATGAACATAACTGCATTGAGCGTGTGTGTATGCACTGATCAAAGAAAAAGATTGTGTAACCGGATCGTCGGACTGTCTGGTACGTGCGTACATCGCCATTGTGGCTGTTTTCACCGGTGCGGTACCTGCTATTTTGCGAGAATCCTGGATATCCATGCTGCTTTGTATCAAGCTGCAGAATGTCAAAATGCTCTGAAACATTTTAGAACAATTATAAGAGTCAAAACTGAACATAACACGTCAAAATGTTACAAAACAATAATGAATCTTGCGGGAAGATCCATATCTTAGGAAGAGAATAGTCTATGTACCTTTGTCTCTCTGACTTGGGATAGGAGGTCATTGAAATGTCGGCATGAACACAGAGTGACACTCCAGAGTGTAAGCATATTTGAAGCTAGGCACATCTCATACATGTGCATAATGTGATGTCGGTTCCTCAGTCAACCTAGAGATGAGGGTTTTCAGATGTCCGTCATTATGACAGATCATGACAGTCACTCCCTGTGCTTAATTGCATTGAGGGGAATCAGGGGATCATAAGATATTTGGGAACGTGATTGCGGATTCTTACTTTTCCTATCTGCCACCTTAAATCTGTTTTGAACCTACATGAAATTACCTTGGAGAGGTAAATTAATGAACACAATGGCCATTGGGAACCTATAACATTCCGACATTTTGTGCTGATTAGGGCTCGTCTGAGTGACTTTCATCCTTCAGACACCCCAACCCTCATAAAGACCCGACGATGAGCTCTAGGTCTGAGGGTGCCTTTTGTTTAGATGTACTTGTATTTTAAAACTATATTTGCAGCAACATGTTTCATGCATCGTATCATTTTGCATGCACTTTCTTTCACATTGTGTCATGTTCCGCTTTGCTCTCCACTCTCTTGTAGTTTCCATGGTGTAACCAGTAGATCTGCCCTTCCTTCCTTTCAATGGAAGGCTTCAAGTGTTGGCTTCACCTTCATCCAATGTTAAAATAATGTTATTGTTTGCATTTGTTTTGACTGGCTGAAAAAGAAGCACAGAACACTTGAGCAGTATATGGAGTTTCCTTTTTTGTTTTTGCAGATTTTTTTCAGCACATGTACCACATTGTATTGTCTGCTATGAGAGACATTTAAGATTGACCCTTCTCCAAAAAGGATTGTACTGAATTTTCCTGTCTCTAAAGCAAAAGGCCCTCAAGGTTGCATGATGTTTAGGCTGTTCCTTTGATAATGTCCTTGTAGTTATGGCAGTAACTCCAAAAGACAACTTCAGAGTTACAGCCATGAGTCTCATTTTTAGATATAAAACAGCTCTATAAAAATGAGATTTGTTTTAACCCTAACAGTTCTGCATAAAATATGGCTTACAGTACTCATTACTTCAAATACTAAGCAGTAGTCTGAGCCTGAAGGACCTAATGCTACAAATTACTACTTCTGGCTAGGGCACCCTCCATTACTCATATAGAGAACAATAAAGTTGTGCATTCATTGTGCCACTACCAGAGCGCTGTATGGTACATTGTCTGATCTATAGTATTTTATGGCTTCAGAGAACAATATGGTCATGCGTAGTATAGTCTTCCAAGTGACAGCACTGCATACTTCATTTTACTACTAAGTCATGTTAGTGGTACTTTGTAGTATTCAGGGCTGTTAGGGTTAAATTTGATTTAAATTTGATTATTTACTCATCATGAGGAGCCCTTTTGCACACTCACAGAAGCATACTACAGTTGTGTCTGTGGAAATAGATCTTCCTCTCAATGTAATTAGGCTTCAGTTCATCTAAGTGTATTTTGTGCAATGTTCTTATTCACAGAGTAACACCACACCTCAAAAAGCGCATAGCCCCGTAAGTAATTTATTGGCATTATGTATAGTTTTCAATGAATAGTTTTCCATGTATAGTTTTGAGTTGGTATCCCTCATACTGCAGATAGAGTTGCTGTATCTTTCCCCATGAAATTTTAGTTTGTCTTACTTATGGGTTAAACATGGTTTATAAAGGCCTTTGTGTTGGTCATTGTTTGATCGGAATCTCAGGAATTCTTTACAGACTTCTAGGGGGATGTGTTTGGTAACAATAGTCTAGAGTGTGTATAGGGATAGGACAGGTAAGGGGGGGTACCCCTCCGTCCCATATCTTGCCTGGTATAACACAACCTGACATTTCTTGACCAAAGGGATGCCTGGCAATTGAAGCAAAAACCCAGTGCACCGTCATCCAGGAGCCGATAAAATCACCTCTTCCTTCAGTTGTTTTGATATAACATGCCAGGAAGCTGGAAGTCAAAGAGACTGGGATGCCAACTTTCATGCATTGAGCGTGTGACTAAAAAATGTCAGGTTATTTCACCGTCTCATGTCCACGTGAGATTTCTCATACACACAAAATGAACTAAAATCTAAACTAAATAACAAAGTAATTCACTCAGCCTTGCTGTGTCCTGTAGTGATGGCAAACTTCTTTTGACTAAACAAATGGGATTTGATTGGCTGTTGGCAGTGGCAATGATGTCACATGTGTTTTGTACTTGTAGACTGTAAGGCTGTGTCCGAAAGAGGCTATATCTATTCTTACTCTCAACTCAGGGTCAATGTTTGTAACCCGGAAGTAGTACAAGTTACATTCCAAGCAGTCAAGCGACTCATCTCAGTGTGTAATTTTTGATTACTTGGAGCATTCCTATCAGAAGAGAGGTCACAGTGCTTGGAACGATCCCTACATACATGTATCTATGCTAAACTGGGCTTACCTGCTGTGCCTTTGTGGTGCAAAGGGTGTGTAAGGTCGCATTGGAGTGATACATACCATGTCACGTTCATTTTCAATCCTGACGTGTTGCACTTTTCGACCAGTTAAATAATAGCAAAAGCAACCTCTATTTCCAGCAATTCTGACTTGCAATACAACCGTTTAAAGACAGTTTTTCAGGACGGTACTATGTTGAAACTTGAGTTTCTCAGTATAACTGCATTATGTGGCCATTCTTGGCTATGTGTGTGACAAGAAATTGAGAAATCCTGTGATTGACATCCTTCCTTGGTCTTGAAAGTGGCCAATGTATATTTCCATTATGCCATTAAAGGTTAACAGAAATGGAAAACATTTAGTTGACGTGAAGTATTTTAAATAACAATAAGGAAATTTCAAAAACATCGTACATTTAATGTTTACCCCATTAATTGTGACCCCAAAATGAATAAAAAGATCCTACATTTCCCCACAAACAAAAATCCCCTTTTGGCAGTTCGTGCTCCCAGGCTGATTGGATGATGTCATAGGCAGAACGCTGACATGTAATATGTACATGTACATTGCGCACAGTACGTGCAATATCGCACGCTTCAAAAGACTACATTGCGATTGATGTAGCTGGGCCCATAGGTAAACACTGTCTCAGTTTAAGGTATAAATTAAAAGACACAGTCCTGCCGTGTATTTCTTGAACTGAGACACTGAGTGTTTGCCTGTGGGCCAAGCTATATCAATGGTTACATATTTGTTGTTATTTTAAAATACTTCACGTGAATTAAATGTTTTCTATTTCTGTTACCCTTTAATATTAATCTACTGACCCCTGTTTAAAAGAGTTTTAGAAAATAACTTTTGGTATAAAAACTGTTTCTGTCTGATGCCTTACATGTAAAAAGTAACAGTTTTAAACTTAGGTCAGTAGATTAATATTATTAATGGATAGTGGAAATATATGCCACATTTCCATATGGCATAATGGAAATATAGCCAGGCCATTCTCAAAGGTCAAGGAAATACATCAGATATAGGATTTCCCAATATTTTGTCACATGCGTAACTGAGAATGGCCCTGTTGTGAATTCCATTGTAATGACCTGAAAGCAACTCCTGTGCCAGCCTCGGTTTGACAGCTTATTGTTTTACTGTACCTCGGCCAGAACCTGGGAGTCAGGTACAGCATCAGAACCAATCAGAGTGGCCACAAGACTCCATGTTGCATTTTCATTTGCATCATTGTTGGTGCAGACATAAAATCCCCTACTATTAGACTTTTCCTCCTAATTCTGTTTACTTTAATTCCATTGTGTTGTTTAAGTGGCCTCTGGATACCTTTTGTACCCGCCATCAAATACAGTTATTTGGCTTTGCTGTCAAATATCTTCCCTTCTGTAATACATGTGCATACGTGTTGAATTGTACACAGGTGTAACAGATACATACATCTGTTACATCTATTTATAAGTCAAAATATCTGATAAATTGTTCTCCATTTCATTGTGGCATTTCAAGTAACGCTTTTGCATTTCAGTTCATGGATTTTTGTATGCAGGTGGTACACAGTGTGAAAGCAACTGCATTTTTGTGACACCATAGTATATATTTGCATTCGAATTTGCAAAAGCTGCGCACATTTCATCGGGGGGGGTTTGCTTTGTGATGTCCATTTATTGCTTACATTCACTTTCATGCTGAGTGTGAAGGAACTGTGTATGTCCTCATGTAACCGCTTGTTGTTGCTTAAACTTCTTAAGTAACACATTTCGGTTAATGTCCAATTCATTGTTACTTTGCAGGCACCGCCTTACTCGGAGAATGACCCTATGTGTAAGTTAAGCTTTTAGATATGTTCAGTTTAAAGACAAACATTACATCTGGATCAATATGAACCTCAGTGGCAAATCAGTACTTCGGCTAGAGGCAAATGGGAAAAAATGGTACCATTTAGTTTGAATGAGATCCCCTGTCTGCACTTTATGGAGATGGAAATAATACTTACGTTTGTTGAGCCTATTGAATGCCCATTTGGCTGCCTATCACAGTCAATATGCCAAGTTTTTCTTTGAAAAGGGACCTGAGATTATATATTGCTATCTCCCTATTAACTTTTTAAAGAACCTGTTACCCTAAAAAGGACACCGTATACACTTCTCCACATCAAGGGTATAAACAAAATTCTTAATGTGAGGGTAGTGAAGTACTAAACCCATTTTTTAATTCAATTTTCTAAAATGCTCCTACTTATGAGAGAACAGGGCTTGTTTCTCTAAAAGATCCATTGCTGAAATACTTGAAATTTTGCAGTTTACTTCAAGTATCTTAATACCTTTGATCTTGAGCTTAAATTCACCATCTATTTCTGGACTAGAATGAAGTGTCCAACATACAGTTTTTTATGGTATATGGCAAAGTGAGCAAGGATATTTCAAACGGCCCCGTTTCTGTTGACCTGTTATTTTGTAGACCCTCCTAATGTTCAGCAATCTAACCACGGACCTCCAGCAGCCACGGCAGAGCCAGCTATGCCTGTTCTGCCTCAAGTTCCTACTACCAGCTTCCCTCCCCTGGACAACAGTGTGGGTGGCAACTCGGGTGGTGGAGAGGATGTTGACTTTGACGACCTGAGTCGCAGATTTGAAGAATTAAAGAAAAAGAAGTAAATGTACAGAAATGATGCCAATATTTCAGTAACTATTGCTTAATGTGTTGCCCAGATGACAGCTCTTTGTATAATTCTTCGAAACTGTAGTCAGATTGTGTTGGAGCAATTTGTACACTAATAACTTGAAGGTCAGAAGTTTTAGCATAAAAGCAGGAAATTCTTATTACATGTAATCAGTGTCATTTCTTAGCTCTGTTGTGCACTTGACAAAATCAGAGTTTGATGCTTATTGAGTGTAGTCATAGGGCTATCTCCATAACTGTTTGATGCCACTGCCCTGGGCTAAGATGGCAGTCAAGGTTGCCTTCAGTGTATATAGTTATTTTACACATTGTGGTTATAAAAAAAATGCAGTGGGGGTGGAGTCTGCCCTTCCCCCCTTATCGTTCCAATATCACCGCAGTGCATTTGTTTGATGAGCAAAGACTTTAGGATTTTGTTGACACCAGTGTTGTGAAAAGAGAACATACCGTTCTTGCACAGCACCTGAGTTTGTTTCTGCATTCAATTGGGGACCCTGAAAAATAGAGGACAATAAGGTCCCTGATTGACAGAGGGTCCCCGATCGACAACNGTGAGTTTGCGAGATAGGTCAGCCGTTCTCAGTGCACGCAAGATAGAGCCAATTTACATTAACAGAAAATCCATTTAACTGATGAACATTATATAAAAATTTTAAAACCTGTAACAATTGAAAAACATACAGTCCCTGCGGTGCACAAAGTAATGGCCTCTCCACTGTAAAAATCTGGTGTTAAAATCAACACTTTGTGGTGTTATCAGATGACCACACCATAGGGTGTTACTTTAACATTGCTTGTGTTACTTTGTACACCTATAAGCATTACAATGTACAGGAGGGAGTTAAAGTAGCACCAAATAACAACAAAATTGTTAACACTAATGAAAAGTGTTGGGATAGTCCTCTGATAACATGAGGGGGTGTTAAATTAACACCCCAGTTTTTGCAGTTTTTTTCACATGATTTTCTCAAAAGGTGCAAAATAGGTTTGCCTTAGTTTTGCATCAGATTTTATCATTTGTATAATAAACACAAACGTTGGTCTCTTATCTGTGTTAACAGGATAGTCTGTCAACTCTTATTGTTTTTGTGTTCACTCTGTATAGGCAGATCATTTTGGCTCGTTAGAAGTTCTTGAATTGGAGATTTTCTCGTCATCCAGTGTCCTCTAAAAACACAATAAGGATTGAGCTTTTGCCCCATGTCGTTCACTGCAAGTAAACAATTATGTAATATTATCCCTTTGAGAAAATACATGTAAATACCCGTGTCAGTAGTTGTCCCGTAGCATTACCTCAGTAATGGAGTGGGGTTAGGCAGGTTGAAGAGAAGGGGGAGGCTAATTGTATGGATTTGTTATGTGGGTAATTCCAGAAATTAGGGGTCCCAAACGTGTGACATTTTTGTGTCCCTGTTACACCTGACATTTGTTGTTTGACATGGAAATATCACCAGAATTGATTTCAAACTATTACTATTTGTTTGGCAGGTAATTTGCGTTAATTCATCACTCTTGGATGAGAGAAAATGTGTTCTGAACTTACAAAATCATATGTCAGATGTAACAGGGATGTGAAAAAAATGAACCACTAATTTCTGGAATTACCCATGTACGTGTGTGTGGCTGTAAATCGCTTTCCATGCAGCACCCTTGAACCCAGTTTAAAGAATTTGTCTTTTGATGACTCGCTATACCATTGATGACCAGTTTTTATGCACATGAAGTTATTGAAATGTGCATTTGTTTTGTTAAAGGGGGCCTATTATTTATAGAAATTTGTTGCATAGTTGTAGAAAGAAATTGGATTCAGCTACGGCAGATCTTAAGAAATTTTAATTAATCACGAGCAGTTATACCCTCAAATATATAAAACATGAGCAGGCCTGCTGCCGTATCTCCTCAATGACTGAGTCTTTATTTCTTATCGTCAGTACATATAGTTTATGTTATTGTAATAAAATGATTTATAAAGTCGATGACTATTCTTTGTATGGGTGCATAGTTACATGGGCGATTTAAGTTATCCCTTATTGTCTTTCCAGATGTGACTGTCCATCCTCGTCTAATCAAGCGCATTCATACAAATTCTGGTTTATCCGTTGTTTACTATGGCCGCTTTATTTCCAGGTGTCCACAGAGATGTTCCCCTTCCAACTCCCCCCCCCTTTTCCTGTTTTTTTTGGGGGTGTTTTCGGGATCCATTCACTTCTTCCATATGTAGCTGAAGTATTTTGGTTTTTGCCTCAACCTACAATGCAAAGACCAATACTCCTTTCCATCCTATCGTACCTTTTACAGTCTCCAAGAATATGTCCAATTTTCCTGCACTGAATATCTACACGTTGTACCTAGGCTTTCGCATTCCCCACCCCCTTTAAATGTCTAATGTTTTGATCCATAGTATATCATGAAGAAAGTGGTCAATATTACATCTTGCAAACTTGGGTATCTACAGCTGCTTCGTGTCGTTGGAGGCGAATTTAGCTATCACGGTACTTGTGTGAGCAATAAAGATTTTTTTCTGAGATTTGCTGAAACTCAACAATAGCAATTGAGCATTTAGACAAAAGCAGAAATGCACTCGAAAAGATGCAGACTTCTTTTAAAAAATTAATTTATAATTAAGCGTGCTTAATGTTAATTTTGCAGTCGCTGAAAACGCGTAGTAACTGTATGCACTCTCATGTCTCGAATCATTTCAATATATTCATTTGACAAACGGTTTAGCAGGATTTCCGTGAACAATCAATGTGGAAAAATATTCAACTTAACATCCTCTCGAAGTCTATAGGCCGTTTCGATAACAATAATTGATCAAAACCAAAGTTTACTGAAGTTGAGCCACTTGTAGGCGTTCATATTGCTTCAGGCACATTTAGCCCTTGAGGCATCGTGGAAGCGCTGACTGGTACGTTTAGCAAGGTTTTTCCAGTTGCAAAAAGTAATTTGGTCATGTTTAAATTACAAAATTAGTTTCTTTAAAACACTGACAAAATAAGACTGATTTAGGAATATTTTTGTTACGCAGTATTAAATGTTTTATCGTCTTCTGTTACCATTCTGATTTTGCGTTTATGCACTGTTATAAACGTCCAAACATAGCATTTATAGATCACTTTGTCTTCCCGATATTGCTCTCACCAGCGTGTCTATTTCGCTTTGAACTCTTCCACCTTGCACACCCCTCGTTGACCATACGCTGCTGGATGATGAAATACTAGATATTTACTCGTGAAGATGACAGTGCCTACCAACCTTGCCGCTAGTAATAGAAAACTGAGTCTGATCAAAAAATAGTTTGAATAAATTTTTAAAGTCTGCGACTATCAAAATCGGAATGTGACTTGTGTGTACAATGTGCGCGCATCAGGCATATATGTCTTCACCTCTGCCTGTGAATGCCTAGTAAAGTATGCATTTTCCTGCACCCACAGACTATATGGCAGGTGTACCGAATGACGTAAGGTCATGAAGGCTACTTAACAATGACTACCCAGGATTTGTCGTTGGGAAGGGGGTCGAATGGGGGGATCCGATCCCACCCCCCCCCCCAAAAGTTAAAATGCTTACCCCTTCATCGTTGCGCCACAGGGGACAGGGATATAAGGATTTATGGAGGTGAGGGCAGGTCCCCCTGAGTTAGTAGTTTAAGATGTAGGTGTGGAGTATATTCTAAAAGAACAAAACTGAAAACTTTGGGAGGGGGCTCAAACCAGCGTGGCGCCCCCCCCCCCGTTGTAGCACCGCTACTAACTACTCGAGACGAAATTGCCGCAAGTAAGTAGAATAAAACTGTTGGTGTTGTGAGTTTCACTGCATACAAAATCAAATCTGGTGATTCGAAGTCACCGTAAAATTTACAATTCCAAAAAAAAATTGAAGTAACTATACATCTATACGTACAACCACATCAAATTGTTTCCAGAAGTTACAGGAAAATCTGCAATGAACTGGATGAACAACACTGAAATGGACTGGAGCGGGATTTGAACCTTCCATCGCGTTTGTGGTCGCCTCAAGTATGAAGTCTAAATTGTTCACGAAGGCCTACATTTTCCAAGTTACTTGTTTTACCACAGGTGGGTCTATTTTTATGGTTCGCTTTGAAGCGAGGAGAGTTGATGGGATTAACCTCTCATCATTGCGTAGCGCATATGTGGGATAAGGGAGTTTTGTCGAAGAAGCAGGTGAGAATTCCAGCCTGGAATCGGACCCTAATCTGGTAACTGGGTCTTTCTTGGTCCCTTTCCCAACTAAAGATCTTTTCGATTTCCGGAGTTCGGCATACAGTGGCTCTTGGCACTGATTGGATAACGCTGTGTAAGATGACGACGGCGTGCCTTCATCAGCACGTGCACTGATTCTCAGAGTCGGCGAGTCTGACAGAGGGACTTGAACATCCTCCAAATAAAGGCCTGTGTCAAATGCATATGCTTTGGGTGGATTCGGTGGGGAGTTATTCACTGATTCTGCGTGTGCTGTACTACCGTGTGGCTGGCTTGGTTTTGGTGTGTCTGGTAGATGAACTTGCTCGGGGCGCTGATCGGATCCGTTTGCTACTTCCCATGTTTCGTTTCTGAGACGATTATGTGAGCCTTGGTGACGAGCGGCAGGAGTTACAACGATCGGCTGACTGATGGTGTTAGGGAGCGTCGAGTTATTTCTCGGTGGTACATGTTTTTCCCGCTTGTAATCTCTGCATCCACACAGACAACTGCAAGCGATTACAGTCGATATTATCAGCAAGAGAATAAGAAAGCCTCCCCCACCAGCAACACCTGCGACGACGGCAACGGGAATGTCGAGACTCGCTTTGCCGACAGTGCTAAGAGCATCTGATTGTACAGTAGTTGCCGTAGTAGGTCTCGTTGTCATTTTGTCTGTTCTGCTAGTTTGCACCTCGGTTGCAGACTTGCTGAATCTGTCATTGGCATCGCTTACAGTTTGGGTCACTGAAGTATAATACAAACTGGAGATTTCACGAGATGTATGGGAGTTAGTCTTCGAATTCGATGGGAGGGTAGTTGATTTCTTAGATATGGTAGACTGCATCGCTGTACTCAAATCGTCAGTCGCGAGATTCACACAAATCGGCCCGATAACGCAGGATCGTTCCATATCAGGAAAGAACACAGGCGAGGCGATTTTGCATTCAAAAGTGAGACCATTTACGTCATAAAACACATCCAGGTTTAATGATATCTGTTGTGTGTCACCGATATCTGAATATTCTAAGGGATAAATGATACCACTCGACACAAAGTCCATTTGGACTATCGGGTTTCCTTTCTCGGAGGTACAGCTTACGTGTTGAGTCGTTTCCGGTGGAACAGTAACTTTCCCGTGTGGGTGGCACACTGGGTAGATATCGGTCGGGAAATAATACACCGATAAATAGAATTCTCTTGAAAGTGAGACGTTGCTACTGCCACTTCCATTTTGTACGCGACATTGGTACCAGCCGGTATCTTGCTTGTTTGCTAGTGTGATAACAAGGTGCTCATACCTTGGCGTTGTCGAAGATGAAAAGACGGCGTATTTCGAAACCAAGCTCGTTCCATTACGTGCCAGTACTGTGTACGATTCATTAACACGTTTCGCCCACTCGACAGTGCGAACATGTAAGTTGTCGGCCTCGCAGCTAAGTATCACCGTATCGCCCGCAACGGGGATATTCACTGGAGATATTTGGGTTAAACTCACGGTCAGTGCATTGGTACTGGTCGGAAGGCCCCAAACCAGAAGACTCCAGCCGAAAACGACGGAAAGGCACTGAAAACAGGACCTCCGATTCATAGCAGGAGAAACTTTCACTGGCGAAGTTGTGAAGAAATTCACTGACTATTCAATTGTTTTTAACACTAACTTTTTAACTTGAAGCAGAACGACGAACGGGCGTTCTTGGATCTGTGCGCTTACTTTGAACAATGGTTGGTGTTTGGTTCCCACGTTCACTAGTCAGTGCGTTTCACGCATCGGTGGATTGACCTCTTATTGTCATTGTGTTTCCCTAGTCGCCACAAATGAAAATCCAAGAGTTCAAGGATTGTTAAATGTGACAAGGGGAACCGGAAAAATTGTAAACATCGATCCATTGATTCCAGTAGCATGACAAAGAAAGCTACTGGCTAAATTGCAAAGGTTTTGAAAGAGTTCCCTGGATGTGCAGCATAATTCACAAAGTTTGCCATATTTGCATGAAGTTCTATGTTCTCTGACAGTCCAAGGAACACTGGTCCCAAAAAGAATTGCCCTCAAATTCACGGGACCATTATCATTCGCTATTATTGTGCCGACGCAGGAGGTACATTTTGGTAACCGTTGAATGGAGAAAATGTCACGGCATCACAGGGAAATAACTCTTTGAGGTAAATGGGCCAAAAACCGAATCATTGCTTCCCGTGGGAACGTTCCTGTTGATTCATCGGAAGTAGCAGTGAATTCAACATAACATAGTAATTTATGAGGAAGATCGTGTCCCTCCGCCCAGTAGGTCTAATAGTTTAGATTGTTGTCTAACACGATTTTTTAAACTTTATACAGAACATCGAACATGCATACATGTACATTTTTGCTACGCGCCAGCAAAATGCATAGCATGCAAGTTTGATCACGTGTATTAAGAATGCTGAACCCAATCAACAACGTCAAACTCTTTCAGTAACGTAAAAAGGATTTGGAATCGGATGGTTATGTTCGGATTTTCTTTAGACGCAGCCTCTGAAATGTTCCAAGAACCCAAAAGAAATAATGTGTAATCTCACTGGTCTAAACTTAACTCCTGGCACTAAAACCAAAATTGCTCGGGAAAACTCGATGGACTCGGTGGTCAGTCCACCGAGGAGGACAACTCCGATTACAAGTCTACGTAGAAGAGAAAAAAAAACACCTAATCTCTTACCTGGCGGGCAGAGCTCAGTAGACTTGCCAAAAACCTATCGTGGCATTTCTTTGCTCAGTACAGTCGGAACATGTCAAAGAAGAATAAGTAATTTTCGAATGCACTGAGGAATTAAAATTATCGGCTTGACAAACTACAAAGGAACAGTGGAATATATTTAATTGAAAAATATACGTTTGGACAGCCATCATGAAAAAGAGATGATATTTTGACTTTTTTAGAACTTCAAGAGAAAATTCAAAACGGAATGACAAGTGATGGATCCCCAAACCGTCCAGACCGGATTTCTTGTCCAACTCAAACACTCCATGCTCGCTTTGATCTTTACTCCACTTTAAAATTTCACAAAATGTTACCTTTACTGACAGACAAAAACTTTTCAATTTTTCTATCTGAAAACACAATTGAGTTTTCTTTAGTAGTTTTAGTTTTGCTCCCTTTTAATGGCAAGTAACTTCCAAATCCAATAATACTACTCCCGAATATGATTGCTATTTATAATTCACTACACATCACAACCACCTCTATACATTTGCAATTCCTGTTGGTCCATTTATTTACTCATGCATTTGTTTTACTTATGCATTATTTTGAGGATAGAAATAATCAAATGCTACCTAATTATACTGCCAATGTTACCGATAATGTAAATGTTAAGGCCGGTTCATACTTTCCGCCAAAGCGAACACAAGCGCGAAGTTGCGACGTTACATCAAATATTCGCCGCTGCAAATTCGCAGAACTGAACACATTTCAACTCGAGCGAAATTTGGCTGCAAATCTTTCGTGACGTCAAATTCGCATCGCTTTCACCCTAGCCTGTGGTATGAAGCGGTCTTTTACTTTTTACACTACTACTATACGTTCACATTTGAAAATACGGCAGAATCATGATCATCAATGGTACACGAGGCAGCATACCTTCAGATCAAGATTAGGATTGTTATTCTTCAGTAATCTAGCATATGCATCTGCACAAGAATGCTGTGTGCGAGTCTGTACACCACTCTGATCATCACACCCCTTGCAAGTACAAAACAGTATGCCGAATGAATAAATATCAGTCTTACAGTTTAGTTCAACTTTCTTTATATGCAGTCTAATCCTTTTTTACATTTGATGTTCATCCTTTTCAAGTTAACTTCTGGTAGCTTTAAATATTTTTCTACTATTAGTGCTCATATCTTCTTCTTTTTTTTTTAAATATGATTAAAATCTTTAGCACAATGTTAGTGTTTATTTATGTACAGGTACAATGTGTGCATGTATGTATAATTGACCATTTTTAATATGGGCGATTCACAATAGTGCGCCACCAAGAGTTTGCAACACGTTGGCCAATCATAACGCGCGAAATTTGTCGACCCTTTCCGAACGCGCATTGGGTCGACGAATTTCGCGCATTGTGATTGGCCAACGCGTTGCAAACTCTTGGTGGCGCACTATTATGAAACGGCCATATTGGAATTCCCATCATTGAGACTGGGGTGCTACACGTGTATAAGTCGTACTCCTTACTCCTTATTACACGCTATTAAAGATAACTCTCCTCAGTCCTCCTACAGGTGAAGGATTGAGGAGGGTTAGGGTTAAAGATAACAACTGAGATGTCATGTCTACAATTCAGTTCGACGTACATAGTAAAGACAAGCTCATATGTGCAATTTAAATGCTATATCGCAAAAATACATGTATTCTTTGTATGCCTTGAGTTCAGGGGAATGCACATGACCAACGTTGGTATTTGTTTTCACCCTCTTTTCGGTTTCTGTGGAATGTAGAGCACTTCTGTGATAACATGATTGCCTATACTCACGCACTTTTCAATTACAGACTTCAAAAGCTGCAGCACATACACGCAGTTTTCTGCAACTCGGTATTCTTCTGCAACGAGTGAAAACTCTCTTACAATCATATTTGGTTAAATGCATTGAACGGTTCACTTTTTAAAACAATCCATGCTTTCCTGGTCAACTGAGGGCGCTGTTACCTTGATGTCATTTTAGGGAAGGACATTGTTCAGGATAAAGGTTTTTCTGTTCAAATTGTGAACCCAGAATGTACTTACTGAAAACCTATCTGAGAAAGGCCTGCTTTGAATGTCATCGATCAATATGCGTAGAGCAACTGTGAAATATGAGGGACCTAAAACAGTGGAGTTCAGTGGACATATCCCTGAAAAATATGGCCAGTCTGTCTGTCTTCAAGCGTAAATACAAAAATACAGTAAATTTTTGAATAATTATCTCGTAAACAACTAATTTTTTTTGTCCACAGGGCTACAGGTCAATACCATCAATTATACATATGTACGTATAGTATTTCCTTCTCACTTTTCGTTACATGGTTATTTGTGTTTTGTTACTAGTGACATGTACTTCATACCATGTACAAATACAACTGGGGTCTCTACTCGACAAGCTATGTTTTTTAGAGGCCTCCGTCCACTAAAGCCCTGTATTGCTACTATGAAATGTTACATATGGAAAACAAAGTGCAAGTGAAGGGAAGTGAAAGGGATTGATGCTTTCTTATAGCTATGCAACAACGAGGAATCAGCAATAAATCCAGCAAAATCAACAAAAATGCATCATATCACTTGTTTGTGTACAAAGCGGGGTAACATCCAGGCTATCTTCCTGGGATATCACAGTTTTGATCATAAATATGATAAAAGGCAGTAAAACACCCTTTGAAAAGTTGAAATTAAGGTTAACCAAGACACAGATGTGCCTTTCAAAGGTTTGCATAAATACAACTTGATTGCAGCTACCCTACACAATGTTAACAGAAGGCATGGCATTCGTTTCTTATCAACTACATGTACCAATAATGCGTTCCAAGGTGCATTTGGCAACAAGTACATGTACATACACAACAAGCATGTATTACTGATCAATGTACAGAAGCCAGCAGAGAAATGTAACCATATTACAATTAATATCATACGTGTTTTAGCTCATGTTCCATTATTGTTCAATTAATGGCATGCATGCATGCATAATGTATATACATGAGCAGGTGACAGATTCCCACAACGGCGCTTACATTCGACAAATTTCTATTGGATAAAAATCCTGTGTTTGCATGCTGTAACATTTTTTAATCTGACCACTGTATTGATTCTTTCTACACTCGGATTATCTAATGAGAAGCAGCTTCAGACCTTCTTGGTTTTAAATTTTATGAAATTACCATAACCAAAGAGCGGAACTTAAAAAATAAACATACTACAGTACCAGCAAAAAATTCTTATTTCAAGGATGTCACTCTTAACTCCCATGTAAGTTTTGCGCATTATTTCCATATTGGGGGATTTCAGTTTTCATTTACATGTACAATGAAAATAGCCATGGGTGATTACTTCAACATGGGCACAGCACGGCCTTTGTTTTTACCAAGTCTAATAAAAAAATTTAACACATGAAACAAAATACCACTTTGATAACTGCCGGTCAGTAGCTTGTCTTCACTTTTTAGACCTTTGGATTACAGTTTGATGGTGGTCAGTTTTATGCAATCCAATCTGCGTCAGACCACAGAGCGTGTCCTTGCTCTATGGTCAGACTGTCACGTAGGTGAACAAAGTCACACCGTGTCATCCATGTGCACATTTTTCCACCGATTACCGAATATGCATGTGCTCCAAATACTGCCTGGTTTGGAACTGGTCATTCAGCTCATGCCAATCTCAATACCAACCAAACAAATTTCTGCACCAAAATATGAGGTAAATATACATCTTCACACGGGTGACTGGAAATGCTGCTATCACACAAACGACGGTTTACAGACACAACAATGTCATACAACAGTGTGCATCACTTGTTATGATATTCCTTCCATGAACTTCAGTTCCACAAGTACACATATTTAATGAAGCATGATTTTGTTTAGTTTAAATTTCAGCATCGGGACAATAAGACTGTCTTGATTGACAGTTGGCTTATTTGCAAGACCAACCGTGCATAGATTAGCATATGCAAAGTGTAACGTAACATTAAATATATACCTGTATGTCAGTGGCGTAGCCAAGGGGGAGCCTGGAGGCATGTCCCCCCCCCCCGTGAATTCCTGGTGCCCACCTCCAGGTGTCCCCCCCCCCCCGAAAAAAAAATTAAAAAAAAAATGAATGGATATTGAACAAGGCTAACAAAAACTTGCCCCAAAAAACACCATCACTGAAATCTGGTGCCCCCCATAAAATGCTGGTGCCCCCTGTGTTCCCCACACTAGTAAAATCCTCGCTACGCCACTGCTGTACATGCTCATGAAGAAAATTTGTCGTGCAAATATACAAAGGCAATGACATGTTCCTCATCAGCAGCCAACGTTCACATATTTCCTAAGCGTATTCATTCTGCACATATAACTGTGTAGATATGGCATTAAGTTTGCAGGCAAGCGGCTACCATATTGTGGAAGACAAAACTGGTGCTCAAACATAAAACGACGACTCGTAGCGTACTTGCTTGTGAACAACTGAGAATCTAATTGTATTAGTCACTCTTCTTCGATACACTCACTGACTTCATCTGAACACTACACTACGCTGGACGACAGGTGGTATACAAAGAAGAAATACATCAGGAATTTAATACTTCAGAGGATGGAACTAGACACGAACATGCCAGAGCATCATTTTGCCTGCAGTTTATAAAGGTCAAATGAGCTGTCGCATGAAGAGTGTCGTGCACTTTGGTTCAGACAAGTTAAACGGTCAAATGATGTGCTATCATAATTCACCCTCTGAAATAGTAAGAATAAAGATTCTGTCTGAGGGAAAATAACTTATTTTCAAACAACACACGAAAAGGCTGGTTCATGCCAAGTGTAAAAGAATTTGTGACATCAGATCAAATCTTTGTGGTGTGAAATTGCAAAAGTTTAAAACATTTCAGTAGGAGTGAAATTTTGCAGCAAATCTTTCGTGACTACAAATTCTCTTCTCATTTACATTTGCCTGTAGTATGAACCAGCCTTAAGAATGGTTTCACATTCTCATTTGCAACTCTCAGACAAGTTTAGAAACAAAGAATTCCCACATATACATGTAAACCACTAAATTTGGATATCGTTTATCTTACAAGTTCAACAGCATCAAGAAGATATAGGATAATAACCTGTGATGCTAGTGACATAATACGCACGTGTGAATGTTACAACCACAGTTTAAGAGACAAAACAGCGGCTGGTAATCACTGTGCCTTCAACTGTGCCTTCATGTCAGGAATCAGGGTGTCGAACACGATGTCCCACAGTTTGCTTGAGATACCAAACCCTAAGGGGGAAAAATACATCGATGTCAAGCACAGACAACAAAATAACAGCATGTCTGTCAATGAACTCAGCTTCACGTATCTACAGAGTCAATGTGAAGGAAAATCTTTGCTGCTAACGGGGTGGTTGTTCACCGATGTACAGTAATTTTTTTAATATAAGCCAATGGCTTATACGTTGATTCTCATGCTGAAAATGTCTCTGCAGATTATATGCCGGGTGGCTGATACGGCAAACTTTGAAGGATAAAATCAGTCACACCATGGTCACAAAAGCCGCGGCTGGGCCACGCGCATCACGTGCAGGTGGCGCAGTCGTGTTTTCATTGGTTGCTGTTTACATCTGAAAACTCGAACCTCGGAGTATGGATTTGGAGTTATCAACAGAATTCCCGAAGTCATGGAGTCACAAATACATGAAATGTATACGTACATGTAATCTTAAATTTTAGCCCTACTTGCTCTGCTGTGGCAACATTTTTTAGCGATTATTTTCCCGCTTTTTATTCATTCTCACAGTGTATGTTTTGCAGATAAACAATCATTTTACCAGGATTTTTGTTGTTGTTGTAACCTAAAGATTTCTTTCTGCCGTTAAATAAAAATCAACCATTTCAATGGTGTGCCTTCGTGTTTCAGATCTTTCATATTTTCGCCGACTGTGTTCAGTGTGACATGCCACAAAATTTTAATTATTTTCCCACTTGAGTTTTTTATGACAACACTTTCTGTGGCCACATAGTTATTGGAAAAAATCAGTGATTGGACTGTCCACGAACGGGTCTGCGGTAGCAGTCAGGTTAGCATGAAAACAGGGTTTGTTACGATCATGGTGGTGCATGACTGCGTGCAATACGTGTGCATGCAACACAAGTGCTTCCAATATGTTGATTCAAAACCACGGAGGTAGCCTTTTCCTCAAACCAAGGTCTCACAGCAGATTTTTCATTTTTTGAAGCAATTTGGCAATGTTTTTTTGATGGCATCACAAAAACCTCAAGATAACTAATGTAGTGTTGTGGACAGTTACAAATGTATTTTTTTTTACATAAAAGCCTGTTCTTTTGGCAAGAAATAGTCGGCCTATGAGATAAAACGATCTTTCAACTTAACTGACTTTGAGTTACCAAGATTTTATTTGAAGTCCCCAAAAGCATAACTTTTGCTGGCTCTGGAAAAAAAAGGGCAAGAGTTGATGCCCGGCCCACGTAGGACAACCATCCAGCCCCCAAAACCATTAAATTTGAGGACTTAAAATTCACTTTTTGGGTGGCATTTTGCTTACTCTCGTTTAGGACTGCATGTGTAGTGGAGCCATGCATTGACGTACTCTACATGCTGTATTGGTGCTTTGGCATACAGGATGATGACTTTTATGATTGGATCGTCAGAGCTGCGGTGCGGCTTGTACGCCAGTGTGGCTTACATGCCGACTTTCAATCTTAATTTGCTGATTTTGGCGTGCTGCAGCTCATACACCGAGTAGCTCATATTCTACAAATTTACTGTAATATATACATACAACATTTAACATGCTTTGAGGGTGGATAGTCAGATCAGCTCCCCGGGGTTATAGGAGTTGACAAACTACAATGGTCCCTTGGCCCTGCCTTGGGAACTAGTTTGTCAACTTCCAGTACCAAGATGAGCTTATATTGACTATCCATCTGAAATTTGGCTCTCAATCACGGATATGTATGAGGTATGGTAACATGTTACACAAAAACAAGACAGAAACAACCATCACCAATTCCTTCTCAAAAACTGCTGCATAAACTGATCCTTTCTGAGGCTGAACATTTCCAGCACTAGTAGAGCATTTGATGCAGTATTCAGGATATCCGTGTGTCTTTTTTTACTGCGCAACCTGCAGTTTATTGCAAGTACTAATACATATTATTACGGACCATCTCTTACACTTTCGTCAACAAGCACGTGAACTACACTGATACTAAAGGAACGGCGTACCATCACATCAATGTACATGTACATGTACATGTACTTTGATACTCTTACCTTTGTCTTGAATCTCATAGTGATGTCTGACATGGTATGTCTTCAGAGCTTGTAAATATGAGCCTGGTGCCGGAGAGCCATGGTGAAGGTAGTAGTGCGTCAGGTCGTAGCAGACGTAACCAAGGATTGTACCAGCCATCAGTGTGTAAGCTACAGGCACTGGTAAGACGGCGGTCAGCAGAAAGTAGTATATGATTACAAAGCCCGACGCGGCTACAGGTGGAAACACCAAACGACCCGGATGGAATGGTACCTGATGATGTAAAGGGCAGTTAGTAGACCTTTTAACTTGGGGTCTATCACAATTTGTAGTGGCCGGCATACTGTTACACTCCTTAGCAGTTATTTTGTCAAGCACGTGATGAATAAATATGTACGTTGTTCATATATTTGGGTTCATTTGGAAGATTCATTTGAAAGGGAAATGACATCATTCATGAAAGGTTTGGCCTATGCTTGGTACCCAGGTACCCAACTGTTGATGTCGGGCTTGGTACCCAATAAAGAAAAAAAACGTGCGTGTGAAAAAGAACTACAAGATTGCTCAGGTTTTTGTTTTGCTTTACGCTCAAGTTCATTAACCCTAACTG